TTTTGGTTTAGCGATTACCCATTTTATAGAAAAAAATAAATTAAAATATTTTGCTACACATATTATGAATGATGAAAGTGTTTTATTTGGTTTAAGCCAATCTTCAAATGAACTAAAACTGAGTGCTTATTGGCTGTGCGGTGTCGGAATTTTATTTGCTTGGCCGATAGGCGTTTTAAGCGGTTATATATTGGGAAGTCATTTAGCTTATGCAAAATTACTGGGTATCGATACGATTTTTCCTGTCGTACTGTTTGCACTTACCTTTAAAGCATTAAAAAGAAAATCTGCTCGAAAATCGGCAATGACTGGTGCAGTCATCAGCCTCGCTACTTTTCCATTTCTACCCTTAGGGATTCCGATACTTATGTCATTATTTGGCTTGCTTGTAGGAAGAAAATAACATGCATCAGCAATTTATCATTTTGATCGGGATCATGCTGCTGGCGATGGGTACTTATTTGATCCGATATGCAGGACTTTCACTCGGCCAATATTATGAATTGTTTGAGAAAACTCAGCTTATAAAACAAGTCCTCATTCCTGCCACACTGAACTATGNTCAACAACGCGAGCAACTTTTTAATGATGCCGCAACAACTTTACTATTTTCTATTGCGATTCTCAGCACTTTTTTTGAAGGTGCGGATTGGGCAGACTTAGGCAAAATCATGGGGGTATTGGTAGGCTTATTTCTGATTTGGAAAAACCACTCACTTATCACGACGATTGTAATAGCAATGCTGGTCACCACAATATTCCGCTTTGCTGAATTTTTCTGGTTAGCCCAATAGAATTGTTAAAGCTTACAAAAAGCGTTTTACAACAATCAAAGCGCTTTTTTAACAGCATAATGCAAGTGACTACGTGTGCTTAATTTTTGATTGAAGATAATGTTTTAATCTCTATGCTTATTTTTATGAATACTTAATCAATCATAAAGCGCTTAAAATTCATTTTATATTGATCATTTTGAAGCACTTCACTTACTCCACCAAATAAAAATTTTCAAAACACAGCCTTCTCTAGATTTTAATCCTTACAGCAGATAAATTCTTTTTCAAGTAATTAAAAACCAGTAAAAGCTTAAATGAATATTAAAGTAAATAAAAAATTATACTTTTATTTAATTTATTGATTGCATGCACCCATGTTTAAGCTCGCATTTTTTAATAAATCTATTTGCTTTATTTCTAAATATATTCTTTATGACTAAACAATCATTACATAACAACTAAACAATAAATCTCTTTTTTAAATCAAAATTTAGTCATACTAAGTGAAGTATAGTCGCATTAAAACGTCTTCTGCTTTCAAAATCAGCCTAGGATGAACGCGATTTTAACTTGATCTATTCTTTTAAAAATAATTTATAAAGAAGTTGAATGAATATTAAAAAATTCCTTAAATTCAACACTATAAAATTATTGATAAAAATGCTCAATTACAGTGCAGTCTATTAAAATAAAAATAATATCTGATTAATCATGATAATAAAGTATTTTAGAAAAACTTAAATAAGACCTTATACTTAATATAAGCAGATCAAAATAATTTGCTATAATATGACGTTATTCACAAAAAGTGACATTTTTTGTCACTTTTTAGTAAACAGAAACAAATCCGCTTTAAATTAAATAAACATGTTAATTATAAATATAATCTTGTATTTAAATAATAAAAAATAAATCTAAAACAAATAACGTTATATTTCTTTTATAAGATAAAAATAATGTGATATTTGTCTCTTTTTTTCGTTGTTTTTATTTAGAAAAAATTTATAGTAGCCCTTATTGTTTAGCTCCTAAACACTTCCCCTTTATTAGGAAAGTACCAGTAAAGGGCAAATCAACGCAGTATTGAGAGAAATTCTATGAAAAAAATTCAATTGGGTTTAGCGATCATTGGCTTAGGTTTAGCATCTTCAACAGTTTTTGCAGCTGCTGATGGTACAGTAACAGTTACAGGTAAAATCGTTGATCAAACTTGTACAGTTGGTGGTACTGCTGGTAACTATACTGTTGTTTTACCAACTGTAGGTAAATCAACTTTAGCGACAGCGGCGACAACAAATGGCGACACTAAATTTACCATTAATTTAACAGCATGCCCTGTAGGTAATGTGGGTGTTTATTATGACAACACCAATGCAAATATTAATACTGCAGGCCGTTTAAACAATACCGTAACGACTGGCGGTGCAACAAACGTAAATATTCAATTATTGAACTCTGCAAAAGCAGTGATTGACCTCACTAAAGATCGTACAGGCCAAAACATTGTGACTTCAAATGTTGCAACTGCAAACGGTTCTGCAAATCTTGATTTTTATGCACGTTACTATGCAACAGGTGCAACGACTGCTGGTGATGTAAGCACGACTGCAACTTACTATGTTGTATATCCATAATTAAAAATTTGGATCTGTAAGTTTTCAAACAAGTCTGCGTTAATTTCTACACCTTAACCAGACTTGCCTCTCCCCAAGGGTCTTTCGATGAAAAAACCATTTTTTATTTCTAGCTTGTTAATGCTCAGTACTTTGATCACATCCGCTCAAGCAGGTATTGTGATTACAGGTACCCGTGTAATTTACCCTAGTGATAAAGAATTTGTATCTGTGCAATTAACCAATGTAGGTGATCAAGTTGCATTAGTACAATCATGGGTGGACAGTAAAGACATTATTGCAGATCCAACCACAACCCAAGCCCCATTTATTGTTACCCCTCCAATAACCACGATTGAAGCTGCTAAAGGTCAATCTTTACGTGTCATTTTCAATCAAAAACAAAAACTTGCTACTGATCGAGAAACATTGTTTTGGCTCAACGTACTTGATATCCCAGCCAAGCCAACAGCTGAAGCAAATTACTTACAATTTGCGATTCGTAACCGCTTAAAACTGTTTTACCGACCAACTGGCATCAAAATGGAACAGCAACAAGCGTTTCAAAAAGTTGAATTACAACGTGTAAATAACCAACTACAAATCAATAATCCGACACCTTATTACTTAAATTTTGGTAAATCGAATCTGGTTTTAAAAAATGGTGCGCCAAGCGAAATTAAAAATCTAAGCTTTATAGAACCATTTTCAAAACAACAAATTGAGGTCGAAAATTTATCAGACGCCAAGTCCGTCCAGCTTTATTTAATCAATGACTACGGCAGTTTATCGACAATAGAGAAACAGTTTTAATCTAAATTATTGGGAGAATTGTGCTTGAAACATTTCACACTTAGGTATAGTGTTTTGGCGCTAAGTCTATATCTATGCAATCAAAATGTTATAGCGCAAGCACCACAATTCGATAATAGTTTTTTATACGGCAAAAATTCTAAAACAATTGATCTTGAAAAATTTGTTTCAAGCGATAAAGTCGCGCCAAATGATTACATCCTCGATATTTACCTAAATGATCGTTATATCACCCGCTCTATTGTGCATATTTCAGATGATCCTGAATCACCTGAAAAGCAACGCTATTGTATTCCACGCAGTACTGTTAAGCAGCTTGATTTCAATCATAAACTTATCGATTTAGATAAAGTCACTGGGGACTGTATCGATACACGCTTAATGAATCATGTCGTGTTCTGGAAGCTGAATATAGCGGAACAACGCGTGGATGTTTCAAGCCCTCAATCAATGTTAAATGAGCGACCATTTGGCTATATAGATCCATCACTTTGGGAAACTGGTGGAAATAGTGCTTTTCTCAAATATTACTACAATTACTATAATTCAGATTATGGTCAGGACAACAAACAAGATTCTAGTTTTCTGAATATTAATTCTGGTATCAATATTGATGATTGGCAATTCCGTCATTCTGGTAGTACCAGTATGGGAGACAGCAATCATTCAGGACAATATACCAGCTATGAAAACAAGCTTATGCGAGTACTGCCTAGTTTAAAAACTCAGCTTAGCCTTGGTGATTTCTATACCAATACCAAAACCATCAATAGTAATTCGAGTATCGCCATTCGTGGGGTACAACTTGCTAGCGATGACAGAATGCTTCCGATTTCATTGCAAAGTTATGCACCTACAATTTCAGGTTATGCAAAAAGTAATGCTTTAATACGGGTACGCCAAAATCAACAAATTATTATGGAACGCACTGTTCCTGCCGGTGCATTTAACATTACAGATCTCCAAACACCTGGGACGGGTGGTACATTAAATGTAGATATTATTGAAGCAAATGGTGAAATCCGCAATTTTGATTTGCCTTATAATAATTTTATTCAGTCTATCCGCGCGCAACAGTATCGTTATCAAATTGCAGCAGGTACTTTTCGTCAAAATAGCAAATCCTATGATGAGAAGTTAATCAATGCATCTTTTGATTATGGATTAAATGATTTTATGTCAGTGAGCAGCTCAGCACTGGTCAGTGATCACTATCAATCTTATATTCTTGGAACCGCGTTAAATACCAAGCTCGGTGGTATTTCCCTAGAAAGCAATTATGTTAAAGCAGATATTAACCAATCCAACCAAAATTTAGACAGTTCTTTGCTTACGCTGCGCTATAACCTTGCTCTAAACAGTGCAAAAACAAATATCAGTTTAAACAGTACTGTTTATGGAAATGATCAATATTATTCCTTTGATGAAGCCATGCAGAATCGTTATATCCAAAACAACAGTTCTGCGCTGGTGCTTAATGGTCGTCCCAAGTCATCAAACTATATTCAACTGAGCCAAAACTTAGGTCATCAGTTTGGTGCTATTTCAGCCAATTTTTCGCAATATAAATTTTGGCATCAAGTCAATACACAAAAATTTTACCAAATTAGTTATAGCAATAGTTATAAAGGCATCAGTTACTATGTGGGTATGCAACATACTCAAAATGATCAATACAAATTAGATAAAGACACCCAATACTTTGTGAATGTGAATATTCCCCTGTCGTTTAAAAAGAAAAATAGTAATTTACGCCTAAGTAGTGAAGTCTATCCAGATAATAATGCGCTCAATACCAATCAAATCGGCATATTTGGAAATTTAGGTGAAAATCAACAGTTTGGCTATAACTTCAATTATTCAAATAGTAAAGATAAAGATCTCTTCAGCAGTTCTTTAAGTTATCGAACCAATCCGGTTTATTTAGCATCGACTTATGCAACTGACTTTGACCAACAACGTCAATACTCTTTACAAGCACAAGGTGCAATTGTTGCACATCAACACGGTATTACTTTAGCCAATGATTTAAATGATACTTTTGCAATTATTCATGCCAAAGGTTTAGAGGGAACCAGCCTTTCCAATGGAAATAATATTAAAATTGATCGCTGGGGCAATGCGATTATTCCCTATCTAAATCCTTACCAATACAATAGTATCAACTTAAACCCAAATACAATTCCATTAAATACCGATGTTGATGCAACCCAATTACAAGTTGTACCTAAATCAAACGCAAGTATTCTGGTTGATTTTAAAGCATTAAAAACCACAAAAGCCTTAATTGAACTTAAACACGCAAATGAGGCGCTCATTCCAATGGGTGCTCAAGTGAAAGATACTTTGGGTAATGCAGTGACTACAGTAGGACAAGGTCAGCAAATTTTTATGCAAAATATAAATCCTGGACGCTATAGCGTCTCTTGGAGTAATACTGATTCTTGTCAATTCAATATTTCCAAAGAAATATTGGAGCAAAGTAAAAATCAAATCCCTTTTGCAAGCTTTAGCCTAAATTGCAAATAAGCACGGAGTAATTTTATGCTGAAATATAAATTGTTATTTATGTTATCTACACTCCCTGCAAGTTTTACAGTATTTGCAGATTGCAGTGTAGGCAGCAATTTCACCAGCGGCTATAGCATGCCGACGATGAATGCCAGTACTATGAACATTAATAAATATGAAGGGACATCGGTACAGTCCAATGTCTATTCTCGCGAAGTTGCTTCAGCAAATTTTGATATTTTCCGTGTCTATAGTGGATGTACTGTTGGCACAAATAGAACCATTTTTGGGAATGTTTTTGCCACCAATGTGATTCCTTATGATGCCAATATTTCGCGTTTAAATGCTTACCCAGCTTTAGGAATTAAAGTTGAAATGGGCGATGCACCTGCAAGTGGCACATTAAAAACGCTAAATACCACTGAATTAGCCATTTATAGTTATAGTGGTGATACACATGGTGTAAAAATGAGAGTGACATTATATGTTTTGCCCAGAACATCAACAATGACCTCATACCCCACAACGATCAATGTGTCTAATCTACAAATAGCAACCATCAGTTTAAGACGTGTAAGTGATAATGGTCTCATCCCTGCAAATAGACAAATTCCCGTATATTTAAATGCAACAGTCAATATCTCTGAATCCACATGCTCACTAAGTCAAAGTAGCTACACCATTGCGCTGCCTGATGTTAGTGTACGAAACTTGGGTTTAGTCGGAAATGAAACCGCGTTAAGCTCAAGCAATACAGCAACCCTCAGTATTAATTGTGCAAATTTAAATGATGGTGCAGGTCGCGAAATAAAGGCTTATACCACGGATGCCTTAAATCAATCCAATGCGACAAATATATTAGAAAATCAAGTTGGTGCTGGTTATGCGACAGGCGTAGGGATTCGTTTACGTGATAAAAACAATGCGATAATTAGTCTAGATCCAAACCAATCAAAGAGTACCAACAAGTGGACCTTTGGCAATTTAAGCACTTCTCAGTTGATTCAACATGTAATTAAAGCCAATTACGTAAGAACAACAAATACAGTGACACCTGGTCTGGTCAGATCTCAAGCTTATTTAAATATTGTATATGATTAAAAAAAGCGAACTTATGTTCTTTTATTTGTTTGATAATATTGAACAAAGTTTCTGGTATTGAATAATTGACACAATCAACAATCAGTACAAATAAAAAAGCGCTTTACAGTGATGGTAAAGCGCTTTTTTTTATCATAATGATTAAAGCGGATTGATATTCTTATTTTCTGGTTGAATATCTAATACCGTCTTTTCATGACGAGCACTTGCAGCAGCTTCAGCAGCAGCCAATTGTGCTGTCTGTATTTGTTCTTTTCGGAGATGATCGATATCTTTACGAAGACGCTTAACTTCCCATGCATTTTGGAATACACGGAAAACCTGTACACCAAGCAACAATCCAAGAACAATCCCGAGTACCAAAGTTAATAGTAGCAATAACCCTAAACGCATTGCTGGTACTTGAGTAAACAATAAATCTACAGGTAGTTCAGCTGGATTCTGCAAGACTAATGCTAAAGCATAACCAAAGACTACCAGTAGTAATGCAACTAAGAAATAGCGCATACTCACCTCATTCGAATTTTATTAATTAGCAGATTCGTTTACTGCATCACGGAGTGCTTTACCAGGTTTAAAGTGAGGTACAGCTTTTGCTGCAACTTCTACTGATTTACCTGTTTTAGGATTACGACCCACACGTGGCTCACGGTGATGTAAAGCGAAACTACCAAACCCACGAATTTCAATACGGTCATCTGAAGATAACGATGCAATCATTTGATCGATCATAATCTTAACTGCTTCTTCGACTAATGGCTCTGCTAAATGCGGATTTTTAAGAGCAATTCTTTCTATTAAGTCAGACTTATTAAGTGCTTCAGTTGTCATTTAAGACCTCATTAATTTTAATGCTAATTGATATACACCAGATAATATCCTTTTTAAATACAAAAAGGTAGCGCAGTAATCATATACTACGCTACCTTTTACACTATTTGAATAAAAAATATTAATTAATTACATTAAATAATACTTCTTAACAATCACTTAGTGGTTCATCTGTGCTTTGATCAAATCACCAATAGTCTTAGGACCATTGTCTTGACCTGCAGGCGCAGTTGTAGTTGTTTTCAAGTTTGCTACAGCTTCTTTCTCTTCAGCTTCGTCTTTCGCTTTAATCGACAAGTTAATAGAACGTGATTTACGATCTACATTGATGATTTTAGCTTCAACTTCTTGACCAACTTCTAAGAATTTAGTTGCATCTTCAACGCGATCGCGGTTGATTTCAGACGCTTTCAAAGAAGCTTCAACTTCGTCAGCTAACTTAATTGTTGCGCCTTTAGCATCAACAGCAGTTACTGTACCTTTAACCAACGCACCGCGTTCGTTAGCAGCTAAGAAGTCATTGAACGGATCGCTGTTCATTTGCTTGATACCAAGACTGATACGGTTACCTTCAGCATCTACAGATAAGATAACTGCTTCAACTGTATCACCTTTCTTGTAACGACGAATAGCGTCTTCGCCTTGTTCGTTCCAAGAAATATCAGACAAGTGAACTAGACCATCGATACCGCCAGGTAAACCGATGAAGATACCGAAGTCAGTGATAGACTTGATCGTACCAGAAACTTTTTCACCTTTGTCGTGTGACTTAGAGAACTCTTCCCATGGGTTCGCACGAGTTTGCTTGATACCCAATGAAATACGACGACGTTCTTCATCAACTTCAAGAACCATAACATCAACTTCATCACCAATCTGAACAACTTTAGATGGGTGGATGTTTTTGTTTGTGTGATCCATTTCTGAAACGTGTACTAAGCCTTCAACGCCTTCAGCGATTTCAGCGAAACAACCGTAGTCAGTTAAGTTTGTAACACGTGCTTTAACGATAGAACCTTTAGGATAACGGTTCATGATCGCTAACCATGGATCTTCGCCTAATTGCTTAAGACCTAAAGATACACGATTACGTTCTTTGTCAAACTTAAGTACTTTAACAGTAACTTCTTGACCCACTTCAACAACTTCTGAAGGGTGTTTGATGCGTTTCCAAGCCATATCTGTGATATGTAGAAGACCATCAATACCGCCAAGGTCAACGAATGCACCGTAATCAGTAAGATTTTTGATCGTACCAGTAACTGTTTGGCCTTCTTCCAATTGAGAAAGAAGCGCTTCACGGTCAGCTGAAGATTCAGCTTCCATTACAGCACGACGAGATACAACAACGTTGTTACGTTTAGCATCAAGTTTGATTACTTTGAATTCTAACTCTTTGCCTTCAAGGTGAGTTGTATCACGAATAGGGCGAGTATCTACCAATGAACCTGGTAAGAATGCACGAACTGGACCGATGTCAACAGTGAAACCGCCTTTAACCTTACCAGAAATAACACCAGTAACGATTTCGCCGTCTTCAAAGATTTTTTCAAGTTTAGTCCAAGTTTCAGCACGTTTCGCTTTTTCACGTGATAAAACTGTTTGACCCATACCGTTGTCAAGCGCTTCAACAACAACATCAACTTCATCGCCAACTTGAACTTCAAGTTCGCGTTGTTCGTTTAAGAATTCTGAACGTGCAACAACACCTTCAGATTTAAGGCCAGTGTCAACAGTAACCCAGTCAGAGTCGATGCTAACAACGATACCTTTAATAACGGCACCTTTGTCGATATTGAGAGTTGATTCGCTTTCTTCAAAGAGGGCTGCAAAAGATTCGGTCATGATATACCTAGTAAAGTCAACGGTCTTGGATCAGACAAGGCCGGTTTAGTTAAGCCATCCACATAGTCCGTATAAACTGATCAAGCTATGCTTTGGCTAATATTTGGTTAAATATTCTTTATTTAGCTAAATGTAACTCGACATAATCAGTCATCAGTTTAAACACTTCATCGATGTTCATTTCTGAGCTATCAATGATATAAGCATCTTCTGCTGGCTTGAGTGGAGCGACTGTGCGTTCCATATCTCTTTTATCTCGAGCTTGTATATTTGCTAAAATGTCGCTTATTTTAACATCCAGCCCCATTCCCTGCAACTGTTTTACACGACGCTCTGCACGGGACTCGGCTGAAGCAGTGAGATAAATCTTCGCTTGTGCTTGTGGAAAAATAGAAGTGCCCATATCACGCCCATCGGCAACCAAGCCAGGCAACTGAGCAAAAGCATGTTGTCGATCTACCAATGCCGCTCTAAGCGCTGGAATTGCTGCGACTTTTGAAGCAAATTCACCAACACGTTCAGTACGAATCGTTTGTGAGACATCCTCACCATCTAACAAAATCATGATTCCGTTGTCAGCACTCTTAAATACGATATCTAAATTTGTTGCAATGGTCACACTTTGTTGCAATACAGATTCAGTATCTAATGCGTCCAACAATTCTTTTTGATGCAATGACAATCCAAGCAAACGATACAGCGCACCAGAGTCTAATAAATGGAATTGATAGTGATTCGCAAGTTTTGCTGCAAGTGTTCCTTTACCAGAACCACTTGGCCCATCGATTGTGATAATTTGAATTGTCATTGAATTTCCAATTAAGCTACAGACTTAGCAAGTTTCTTAAATCCAAGTGTAATCGCTAGTTTAAGCTGTGCAAGTATTAATTTACTCACAAATGGTGCACGTGCTTGTAATTCGATCGTATAGTCAACACGGGTTTTGTTTGCATCAAGCGCTGTAAACTCAATAATTCCAATATGATGTTTAATCAATGGATTGTTAATTAACTTATATTCAATACGTTTATTGACATCCAGATGCGTAATTTTCTCTTGAATCGGCTTGATCGGACCAAACCCCATACGACGGATAGAACCCAATCCATCTGGGCGTTCAGGATCAGCAGCATCTTTTACCCGTACAACTTGAATGGGAGCAAAAGCCACATTATAGGTTGAATGCTTTGATAACAAGTCAAAGACCTGATCGATTGGTGCATTAAACTCTTGTTTTACTTGAATAGAATTCATTGTTATACCCTTTTAAACTTTAACTATATTTTTAAACCCTCATTTTGACAATTTTCATTGTCACTAAAATCTTGTGTATTCTAGATCATTTTAATGAGTCATTTAAGGTCTTTTGTTGTAACTTTAATTGTTTTTTTTGCTCACGACGCATTTTAAAAAAATCAGACAGTTGGCTTGAGCACTGCGTTTGTAAACAACCGCCTTCAAACTGAAATATATGATTGTAATAGCCAATCTCTAACAGTTGGCGACTACTGATAAGTGAACCCGCTTTAGGTTCAGTCGCGCCAAAAACCACACGTTTGATTCTTGCATGGATTAATGCACCAACACACATGGTACAAGGTTCAAGTGTGACGTATAAAGTGGCGTCTTCTGGCAGGCGATAATTTTCAATCTTTTGACACGCATTGCGCAGTGCCTGAATTTCCGCATGGGCTGTTGGATCATGCTGAGCAATCGGTTGATTATAACCTTCACCAATGACTTGCCCCTGACTTACAATCACTGCACCAACAGGAATTTCACCGATAGATGCAGCAAATGCAGCTTGCTCTAAAGCCAGCTGCATCCATTGTTGATCTATGTGTTGTTGAGTTTTTTCAGTCATACGACCTTAAATGATACCGTACTGACTTAGCAGCGCATTCCAACTGTCAATCGTTGTGACAGGTGGATTTTTAGCAAGTATTCCACGCAATGTTCGAGACTCAACCTGTTCCCACTCTGGTGATAAATCTTTATCCACCAAACGTGCGCGTACCCCTTCAACAAAATCAGGATGACGAATTTTCCAATCAGAAATTTGTTTTTCTAATTCAAAAACCTCAGACCACGGATGAACTTGACGTCCCCACTGCCATAACAACCAGGTAATCGCAGCAGTACTTGGTGAGCCCTTTTGTAGATTCTCACTGGCTTGACGCAACCAATCACTACGCGCATCACTTAGGCCAATAATCGCTTCATAATCATGTTCAAAGTTTACACCACGACAAACACTATGAATCACATCCAAAGAGTTTTGCAACGGTCCTGGTGAAACAGGACGATGTAAACTATTTAAGGTGTCATCTAAAGCACGGAAATCACCAGCAGGATAATGATCCCAATCAATATCAATCAGTTTCTGTAAAACCACATCACGTTGGGCATCACAAATATGAGTTGCCCAGCCAATCCCATAACCACCCGCTGCAGTCATGATCGAACCAGTTAAACCTGTGAATAAACCTATCGGACCACGATCTGCCAAGAAACGTGTAGCCCCCACATCTGGATATAGACCAATATTCACTTCCGGCATAGCAAGACGCGAATACGGAGTAACTAAACGAAATGGGGCAGCCATAAATAAGCCTAAGCCACCACCCATGACATAACCTTCACCCCAAACCACTACAGGTTTAGCATAATTATGCAACAGTAAATCTAAAGCATATTCCGTTTCAAAAAACTTATTGGCTGTTTCAACTTCATTGTTGATCACCAATTGACGCAGTTTACGAACGTCACCGCCTGCACAAAAAGCTTTAGGCGTGGTTGAATCTAACCAAATTGCCTTAACTGAGTCATCATGATGAAAATCCTCAAACAGCTTCAATAATGCCGCAACGATAGATTCATCAAGTGCATGAAGCGACTTAGGACGATTTAAGCGAATAATTCGCCATCCCTTTTTCGCTTCTTCGATAATCAGATCTGGGTGATAATTATTTATTTCGGGAGAGTTTGTCATGCGTCCAGCTGCCAGTCGATTGGCTCAATGCCATATTGTTTCAGATAATTATTTGTTTTTGAAAAAACCTTACAACCAAAAAAGCCACCACGATTTGCTGCCAATGGAGATGGGTGCGCAGCTTTTAATACCAGATGCTTCGTTTGGTCTATACGTTGTCCTTTTTTCTGAGCATATGCGCCCCAAAGTATAAATACAATGTGCTCTCTATGCTCATTCAACACATCAATCACGTGATCTGTAAAATTTTCCCAACCGCGTTTTTGATGTGATGTTGGTTGCCTAGCTTCCACTGTCAACACACTATTTAAAAGCAATACACCCTGTTGAGCCCATTTGGTGAGATCACCATGTCGGGATACAGGTACAGCTAAATCTGTATTTAACTCATGAAAGATATTACGTAAAGACGGAGGCAATGCAACGCCTCTTTGTACGGAAAAACTCAAGCCATGCGCTTGATCAGGACCGTGATAAGGATCTTGTCCTAAAATCACCACTTTTACGTGATTCAATGGCGTTGTGTCTAATGCATTGAAAATAAGTGAGCTCGGTGGATAAATGGTTTTATTTGCATTTTTTTCAGCAACTAAAAAAGAACGCAAATCATCCATTTGCTGACTCAAAAGAAACTCAGCTAAACCTTCTTTCCAACTTTGATCTAACCGAACTTGATTTAATTTTGTTTGTTCGAGTTCAGATAATTGCATCAACTTTCATCCTAAATTTCATTTTCCTAAAAATTTATTTGTCCTAAAGATGGATTTCACTCAAGAATCATCATTTAAATTTTAACCTGTAAATCCACTTCAGGGTTTTGAAACGGAATACCTTGTTTCAATTTTTCATACATTTCTGGGTCAGACCATTCAGATATGACCTGCTCAGAAAAAATAATTTTATCCAGATTCAACAGTCCCATCTGAGCATTTTCAATATCTTCTTGAAAACTTTGCGCATAACCTGTATCGGTTTCATGCACAATCACAGAATAGACTTCAACATCCCCTTCCCCATTTTGGGTAATGGTTGATTTTAAAATCTGTTGCGCGAGAAAAAAGAATACCCGTGAAAACTGTTCAGCCGATGGAGAAACTGGCAAAGCCACCCAACGAGCACTAAAAGTTTTACACGCCTGAATATATTCAGGGTTATCTTCTTGCCAAAAACAGATCGCATGGTCAAAACTGTCGAAAATTTCTTTAATTACACCTTTAAGCAATCCAAAGTCATATACCATTTGACCATGATCAAGTTTTGAAGCTTTAAGTAGTAATTCAACTTTATAGCTGTGCCCGTGTATAGACCGTTTGCAACGATCTGACGTGCAATTGCGCACAATATGTGCATTTTCAAACTTAAATAACTTACGAATTAACATGAGCCAAATTTTATAAACAAATCGGTAAAGAATCTCGATTATAAAGCAAAACTCGAACCCTGAGCATTAATTTTCACGTTGATTGCAATTAGCAAAAAGGATGATCTGCTTTTTTAGGCCTATTTAGCTTATCGAATCATGTTTACTCAATCAACCAACCTTTTGACTACCTTTTAACTATTTTTTATAGTTATTTAAAATCATATAGTTAAAATAAATATTCACTAAAATTTTCAAAATGGCGCAAGGCTACGCGAATAAACATAAACTTGCGATTTATCATTACGCATAAAGCGCGTAGTAAATTGACGCTTTCGATTGCTTAAAGATACTTCGATGTTGGCTTTAAAATAATTGGATGTCACACCGAAAATCTTATCTGCCTCGGTTTTACTTGCAGCTTCCAATGTGTCAAATGGTGCGACTTTCATCAACTCACCTACATTAGCAAAGTGCTCAAGTTTTTCTTGTCGCGCTTTTAAAGCTGTTTGTATGCTATTTACGTCTAGTTTTTCATCCATGGCTGCCAAAACCATTGCAGGTGCTGTATTAACATTAATTCGTGTGGCAATATCAGGCAGTGCCGATATATAAGGTGCGATTAAATCATACTTTTTTTCTTCAAAACCACGTACTTGTTTAAGTTCTTCAACACTGGAAAATTTTCGATTTGCAGCCAAATATGGTTTAGGTAAACCTTGGTAATAACTTGTTTCGGCGCCGTATGAACCTATGGTTTCATTATCTGGATCTTGCCAATCAATCACTGCTTGAACAGCATCAGCAGGTAAACCGACACGAACCAACAGTTTAGAAAAATATTTCTGTGCTGCATCGTTGGGCTTTCCTTCATTGGTTAATAAACTGTTTAAATTGAATTTACCTGACTCATCTTCCAACACACCTGTAACATATCCATCTTCAACGGGAAATGCTGGCATTGGTTTTGCCCAAGTTTCCTGTAAATAATCTGCCTCTTTGCTGTTTTCGCTGTCTTGTACCAATATCTCAGAATAAAATGCTTCCGCACTCTTTGCATAAAAAAGTGCTTGGCTTTGCCGTTTTAAAAACCCTGTACTTTCATTGGTGTAATTTTGACGTTTAGCAATCGTCGCAGCAATAATGGTTGCCAAAGCGACCATCACTAAAATCGTAATTAATGCGATACCCTTTTGCTGCTTCAACTGCATGAATGATTTACCTAAATTGATTGATCCACATCTAACATAATACTGATTTAATTACCTGTGCCGTTATTGATCAGATAGTCAGAATTGAGCAAACTAAAAATCCATTCATATTCTATATCACGAATCGTGACTTTAATTTTAATCCCACGTGGCAATTGCCCATCATTTTTAATCATATCGTTTGGCCAACGATCTAATTCAGTTGGATTTAAAACATCAATACGATACTGATCAACATCTGCCAATAACACACTCGATAAGGGTTGTTCTGAATTATTTCGATTTAAATTTGAATATTTTAACCGATAAAGTTTTTTCTCTTGTGCATTGTAAACATATTCAATTCGTTCATAGGGTGACAGCCCCTGTTTAAGCGGGTCGGTTACACCTGTTTTACTGAAAGAAAGTTTTTGATTGTCTAAGCGTAAAGCAGGTTCAATTTCCTCACCACTTCTCGCAGAAATAGGAACAATCTGTAAGGTATCACGCTGAATCTGTTGATAGGCACCTTGCAATTGACCTAAATTTTCCTCATGTATGACATTACGATCTTTAACCTTAATCAGATAGTCAAATATTTTCCAGCCCAATGCAGACAAAACAGCAAAGATTGCAATAGCCACCAAAAGTTCAATTAAGGTAAAACCCGTACTTTTCTGTGAATACACAGTTTGATTTTTTTTATGTTTGATTAGATTCATCATTATTTTTCTTTGATCGGATAATTAAAGAACACCATATTGGTAATCCCTGCTTCTATTTTGCCCGTATCAGGATTAAAAAGGCTCACTTGCACATCTATTTTTTGTACATTTGGGCTCAGTGTAGATTCTGCTTTTTTATCTACCTGCCAAGTTTCACCTTGTGTGATGATTTGTTTGGATGATGTTCCTGACAGCCATTCACGATTAATCATCATCATTGAGATTTCATTCTGTGCAACAAACTGAGCTTTGGTTCGTAAAATCGCGTTGGCTGTCGACTGCGTATATTGCATCGCGACTTTAGTCAAAGCCATTGCTGCGACTGCAAAAATCGCCAAAGCCACAACCACCTCAATTAAAGTAAAGCCCTTATTTTTCTTCATCTACTTTACCCAAATAATCAACTCGAATCACCCCACCCACTGGCTTTTGCTGATAATACATTTGAATTGTGACAGGTTTGACTTCACCATTTCCAAACCAAATCAATTTAGGTGCATTATTCCCCAAGAGTTCTGAGTTATTTGCATTTTGGAATTGATGATCTTCCGTTTCAATAGAAAATGAAACGTATTCTGGCAACGCTCTTTTAGGAAAGTCCGTCACTTCTTTCCATGGTTTATTGTCAACCACTCGAATACGTTGCTCAGCGTCTTCTTTGACTGGAATATATTCAATAACACCATACTGTGCAGCTGCAACATCCGTAGCATTGTGTAAATCGAGTGCATAAATACGCGCTTGATCATTGGCTTCACGATTAATCTGCTTTAAATCGAGCAATAACATCTCGCGCGCTTGCATAGCTTTACGCTGATCTACGCCATCAATATTTAAAATGATCAATGAGGCAATAATACTGATGATGACGATCACCACCATCACCTCAATTAAGGTAAAACCTCGCATTTTTTGAGATGATCGTAGATTTTTCATTGCAGCTAAGCAACCTGTTCTGAGGCTTGTGGATGTTTTGGCACAGCCAATGCCTGATCAATCAATGCGACACGTAAGGTATCTCGACAACCTAAATAACGTTGATAGAAGCTTGAATTCAATATCGCTGCTCCACCATGCGTAATTGACCAAATCGAAGCCAAATAATCACGTACAGACATCAAACTTTGAATGGATTCTAGATAGCATTCTGTCATTCGAATAATGATACGTAAACGTTGTTTACGCACTTGATAGAGTTCACTAAATAAATGATGGATGCCTTGACCAGTAGTGGATAATCGCTCTTCGATCTGATGGAATAACACTGCACGTTCAGGATGGTGTAAATGGTGCAACATAAAAAAAGCCAAATGCTCAGGAAATGCTTTTTCAGTATCACGTACCATTTCAAGTAACATACGTTCATTACGAATGATGAGTAGTATATACAACTCATCTTTACTCTGAAAATGCTTATAAAGTGTTCCCTTAGCTAGATCTAGTTCCGCAGCAAGGGCATCCAATGTCATCCCAGCTTCACCATTTTCTAAAAGCAGTTGTTCAGCAACCTGAAAAATCAATGCTTCTCTTGCTCTAAACTGAGCCTGTCGATCCATCTTCACCCGATAAACTCTCTTGTTAATTCTATCCGTTAATAAATTGACGCACTTCTATTGATTGCTTTTTAAATCAGTGCTTTTCAATCACTTTTGTTGAAGCAGATTTTCAAAATTTTGTGTGGTAATGAAAGCGATCTCTTCAAGCGTTTTATCATATACATCACTCAGCGCTTTGGCTACATAAGGAACGTATTTTGGTTCATTCGGTTTTCCTCGATAAGGCATCGGCGCCAAATAAGGACTATCCGTTTCAATCAACAAGCGATCTAAAGGTACTTGCTTTGCAACATCTCTTAAATCTTGCGCGTTTTTAAATGAAACAATTCCAGAGAAGGAAATATAGTAGCCACAATCTAAAACCGCTTTTGCAGTCTCCCAATCCTCAGTAAAACAATGCAAAATACCATGTGTTGATTTTTCAGCCCGAATAATATCTACGGTTTCATGCTTTGCTGAACGGGTATGGACAACCACAGGTTTTTTAAGCTGTTGTGATGCGTAAATATGTCGTGCAAAACAAGCTTTCTGTTCAGCAATAAATTCAGTACTATGAAAATAGTCTAAACCCGTTTCACCCAAGGCCCAAACTTTTTCAGCCTGCGCCAGTTCAACTAGTTTTTCAACACTTGCACGTTGCATCACTGCAGGATCTTCACATGGGTGCACACCAACACTATAGCCCACATCTGAATGTCTTGCGGCAATTTCTGCAAGTACGATATGGTCATCCAAATCTACAGAAATCCCCATAAATTTGGACACACCAGCATCTCTTGCTTGTTGTAATGCGGCATCGAGATCCCCAGCATAAGGTTCAAGATTTAACATGGTTAAATGGCAATGCGTATCAACAAACACAGAAATTCCTAAATATTGAAAATTGGCTTACATTGTAAAGCTAGGACGGTCTAAAGACATACTGCCTGCGAGTAGTTTTTCTGCTTCCATTTTGTAATAGATGCCTTTTTCGCCAGTGAGTTGAATTGCAAAACCTTGTGGCTTAATTCCATTTTGCTTTTGCGAAATCCAAATCACTTTCCCTGTTAAAGGAACTTTCTGTGATTGATCTGGCAAACCTGCCAATACGAAAACTTCATCGCCCATTTTTACAGCATTCTTTGATGGTACAAATAAGCCACCACCTAAAATATAAGGCATATAACTGGCTTGTAAGGTTGCACGATCATTGATGTTGACTTGAATCAAACCGCCCATACGTGGTTGCATGATTATTCCCCCTGAATATTCAAATTTTATGTCACATTCATTAACTGAATCGACAATTGATCAATAATTAGATTTGTTTGTACATTTTGATCAACTTTTAGCTTAGATTGTTGTAAATCCTCATAAATAGAGAACAAAGTTTGCAATTGATACTGCGCTGCAAGCTCATCCAACTGCAAATCTGAATTCTTTACAACTTGATTCAGCTTGACACAAATTATATCTGACAACAAGTATTCAAACATTTGTAAAAAATCATAAAAGCTCAGTTCTTTATTCCATTTTGAAGCGAACTGTAAAGGCATGCTTTTTTGACTGACCAGTTTTTGCCAATCTTGTAAAAATTCCCCACGTCGGTTTAACCAATCCAGCTCAGCAAGCGCCAATGCTTGCAATGGCATGTTATTAGATAAATTCATCAACAAGTTAATTTTAGAATGCATTTCACTTGGTAAATGCTGTTGCAAATATTGTTCTGAAAGCGTGGGGCTAATACGATCCATTGCAAAGTGCTGTAACCGACTACGAATCGTTGCAGGCAGCTTTAGATAATGTTCTGCAAGTAAGATAATCTGTATCCGATCACCTGGCTCTTCTAGTGTTTTTAATAATGCATTTGCAGAAGCAATGTTTAAAGCTTCTGCAGGTTCAATCACAATAACGCGCCAACCATCTACTGTTTGCTGCACAAATGGTAGTAAATCACGGATCTTCTCGATCTTAATTTTCGCGTTTTGCTTCTTATTCTCTTCATCGGTCGTGATATTAACATAGTTAGGGTGGGTATCCGATTTGAGCCACTGGCAACTTGCGCACTCTCCACAAGCACCTTGTGGTGTTTTATTTAAACACAAAACCCATGACAAAAAATGTTGGGTAAATGCATGTTTACCACAACCTTTTTTACCATAGAACAATAAACCATGCCCTAATTTTGGAAAGCGACCTGTTAAGGTTTCCCATGTCTGTTGCTGCCAAGGATAAACCTGAGAATTAGAAGCATCCATGAATCAAAAACCTAAATACAAGTGAGGTAAAAACAAGTGACGTAAGTATAAATAATGCAAAGACAAACTATTCAAAAACCGCTACATCTAAGGCGTTTAAGCGATCCAAATCTGTTTGAGTATCGACACCCGGTGGTAAGTTTACTTGTGCGATATCAATCGCAATACGATGTCCATTTTCTAAAACGCGTAATTGCTCTAAACTTTCCAACTGTTCCAAAACACCCATATCCCAAGTGACATATTCTTGTAAAAGCTTGACACGGTAAGCATATAAGCCCAAATGACGATAAGCATGCTGATGTGGCTTTTGCTCAGCCTGTTTAACACCCTCTCGATCATAAGGAATTTGTGCACGACTGAAATAAAGCGCTTCATTGAACTTTGACATCACCACTTTCACGATGCTGTCACGCTGAAACTCGTCAAGCTGATGTATAGGCTCACATAAGGTCGACATTGAACAATCTGCTTTCTGTGCTAGCAACTCCGCAACTTGAATCACCAATTGTGCAGGCAACAAAGGCTCATCGCCCTGTACATTCACAATAATATCCTCAGCATTCCAACCTTTGATCCGAGCAACTTCACTTAAACGATCTGTGCCTGAAGGATGACTCGGATCAGTCATCACAACATCCACACCTTCTGCTCGGCAAAGCGCTGCAATACGTGGGTCATCTGTTGCCACACAAAGATCATCAAACCCCTGTACTTTTTTTGCTTGATCAACCACACGTAAAATCATGGCTCGTCCATGAATTTCTAAAAGCGGTTTACCCGGAAGACGTGAACTCGCAAAACGCGCAGGAATAACAATATGTTTCATCAAATTAACCTTGTATTAGATCAATACCAAGTTGAGTAAGTTGTTGGTTGAGTAATAGATAGCATTCATCAGACAAGACTGCCCCCACTGGAACCACCCAAATCCCACGACTAAATGTAGAATGATTTTTCAATAATGGTAAAAGCTTTACTGCATCTTTTTCAGTGGTGATAATCGGATTGTTATCTTCAAACTGCAAATCATCAATTTCATAATCATAATGGTCTGGAAACTCATGACATTGAAATTGAGTTACACCTATACTTTCCAAGGTATTATAAAAGCGTTGAGGAAAACCAATTCCAACAACTGCATAATAATCGAGTGTAGGATCAAACTGCTCAGATTGGTCAAAACTTGGATTTAATAGATAAGGTTCTGTCACTTCTAAATGCATATTGAGAGCTGAATGTGGCTGGTGCGAATGCTCAATCACGGTACCGTGCTTTAAACGGCTCACAGGCTCGCGTAAATAACCTTCAGGAAGCAGTTTTTGATTGCCCAAACCCCGGTTATTATCCAACACAATCCATTCGATTTGACGCGCTAAAGCCCAATGCTGTAAACCATCATCACTGATAATCAAATCAAGTTCATAATGTTGCAGTAGTAACTCAATATTGGCTTGGCGATTGCCACCCACCACCATGGGAACCTCAGTAGACTGAACAATTAAACAGGGTTCATCGCCCACTTGATCAGGCACAGAATCTAAAGTAACCAGTGCAGGAAAAGGCCCTTGCCCCCCATAACCACGGCTAATCACACCAACACGAACACGGTGATGTTGCAAATATTTCACCAACTGGATCAATAACGGTGTCTTCCCACTCCCGCCCACAGTAATATTTCCAATAATCATCACTGGGACAGGTGCTTTATAGGTTTTTTTTATACCTTTTTGATACAGTTGCTTATTTACCGTAAAACCGAATTGATATAACCATGACAATGGCCGCAATGCAATCAACCACTTGGACTGTTTATTCCAAGCATCTTGAATGATTTGCGCAATAGACATGTTCGATTATTCCTCAAAGTTACGTTCATACAATTGATAGTAAGCGCCATGCTTCGCTAATAACTCCGTATGAGTACCTTGCTCTATGATACGCCCTTTATCCATAACCACAATCTTATCCGCTTTCTCAATTGTGGATAGACGGTGAGCGATCACAATCGTGGTTCGATTTTGATCAAGCATCGCTTCATCAAATGCTTTTTGAATAAAGTGTTCAGACTCATTATCTAAAGCACTGGTGGCTTCATCAAGGATAAGAATTGGTGCATTTTTAAGGATTGCACGTGCAATGGCAATACGTTGACGCTGACCACCAGAAAGACTTAAGCCTTGCGCGCCCAAAGGTGTGTCATAACCATTTGGTAACTCCATAATAAAGTCATGTGCATAGGCTGCTTTAGCAGCGGCAATAATGGCTTCATCGGATGCTTTTTCTAACTGACCATATGCAATATTTTCACGCACTGTTCGATCAAATAAAACCACTTGCTGGTTGACCATTGCAACTTGAGTACGTAAACAACTGAGTTCAATATCTTGAATAGGCAATTGATCTAGATAAATCTGCCCTGCGCTAATTTCCTGAAAGCGTACCAACATATTCACCAAAGATGACTTACCAGCACCTGAACGCCCAACCAAAGCAATGGTTTGGCCTGCTTGTATGTCTAATGACAAATCATCAATTGCTTTTACATTATTTTTATAAATCAAAGACACATGATCAAACTTGATATCACCCAATAATTTTGGCGTTAACGTTCCAGTATTTTCTTCATGTGGCAAATCTAGGACTTCAAATACGGAATATGCCGCAGCAATACCACGTTGTAATTTTTCATTAATATCCGTTAAGTTTTTAATAGGTTTCGCCAATAGCCCTGCTGCTGTGATATAAGCAACGAACTCGCCAGCCGAAGTATCGCCTAAAATTTGTGGACGTAATGCCAACCAAATAATGATACCCAGAGCAAAAGCCATGACCAATTGTACCAGTGGACTATTTAGGTTTTGTACAATCACCATTTTCAAGCCACGTTTTAAGTTTTCTTCTGACGACTTATAGAAACGTTGTTGTTCACTTTCTTCACCTGCAAAACTCTTTACAACAGCATTACCACTGACTGTTTCTTGTACAATATGGTTGACATCCCCCATCGTATTTTGTACTTGAATAGAGAGTTTACGCATACGTTTTGAAGCTTTACGTACCAATAAGCCAATAATCGGCATAAAGATAAAAATACATAAAGTTAAACGCCAATTGGTATACAGTAGATAACCCAATAAACCTAAAGCAATTGCGCCATCACGAATTAATGTTTTTAATGATTCAGAGGAAGCTGCGGTTAACTGCTCAACGTTATACATAATTTTTGCAGTGATATGGCCAGATGAATTATCCAAGTAATACTGTGCTGGTAGTTTTAACAGTTTGGCATAAACTTCTTGGCGAATACTAAATACCAAACTTCTTGAGATGACTGCAGTAAAGTAGCCTCCCATAAACAAACCTAAGCCACGGAAGAATATCAATAGAATAATCAGTGCTGGGAACCAATCAAGATCACCACGATTACCACCTTGAATTGCATCAATAATATACTTGAGTAATTTCGCTACAGAAACTTCAGTTGCCGCATTTATGCCAAATCCAATAATAACGAGTAAGGCTGCCCCCCAATACGGCTTTAAATATGCCAAAAGACGGACATAGACCTTAAAATCCTGATTCACTAATTAATAACCTCGAGATGGAACTTTGGTACTGATATTGATGTTAACGAAACCTAGCTGTCCTGCGACGTCCATCACTCGAATAACATCTTGATGCGTCGCTTTAGCATCTGCAGCTATCACAAACATCAGATCACGATTATCATTTGCTGCATGCTTAATTGCAGTACTTAAATCAGCCGACTCTTTACTCGAAAGTGCCTGCCCATTTACTGCATAATGTCCTGCCGAGTCTACCATGACTTCAATTTTATTTTTGTATTCTTTTGGCGGAACACCTTGTGCATCCGGTAAAGAAAGATTGATCCGGCTTTGCTGGTTAAAGGTGGTGGTCAGTAATAAAATCACCAATATAAATAACAAGCAATCAATCAATGGCGTAAGATTGATATGAATATCTTCAACTGTTCTTCGTCTAAATTTCATGAAACACCCCTAAAACGGATTTAACCAGCTTTCTTTTTTTCATTTTCAAGGTGTTTCTGAAAAAATAAGGCGGCATGAAATAAAGTCGACTGTTGCTCGAGTTCAGCCACATATTCCTGAACTAGGCGCTGAAAATAACGGTAGGCAAATAGTGCTGGAATAGCAATCACCATACCGGCAGCTGTGGTAATTAATGCCTTAGAAATACCAGGAATCATCATGGTTGGATTGGCATTCGTACCTAAATCAATGACTAAAAAGGATTCGATAATTCCAATCACTGTGCCCAATAGACCCAATAACGGTGCAACAGCGCTCAATGTACCTAAGAAATTGATATTTTTTTCTAAATATCCAATTTCGCGTGAAGCAGTCGCTTCCATCTGAGCACGTGCAAATGCTTCACCTTGAGCGTAAGCATCTATACCATCTTTAAAAATATAGCCCAATGCAGTTTGGCAAACAGCTTGATCTTGTTCCATTTCATCTAAAACATCGTCAACATTGCGACCTTTTTGCATCATAAGCGACTTAGGTAGAACTAAAGATCGTTTCAGCCGTATAAATCTCTCGATTGAAATCGCAACAGTAAAAATTGAACATAAAACCAATGGCAGCATTAACCAACCGCCGGCTTTAACAAGTTCCCACATCTTTAGTTCCCCAATTTAATTAAATCGCTTAAACATTATTGTTCTGGTAAACAGATATTTAAAATTCCATCTAACTCATCAAGAGAGTTATAACTGATGACCAGCTTTCCTTTACCCTGTTTGTTATAGTCTAATTTTACACTTGCACTAAAACGTTCTGACAATTTCTGAGTCAGTTGTTGTACATCTGGCGCAAGTGGATCTTTAGATTTTTCCTGCTTTGGTGTATTCCAATCACGCACCAATTGCTCGGTTTGACGGACAGATAAACTCTTATCAATCACGATTTTTGCAATTTGCAATTGATCTTTAGCTTTTAGGGTCAATATCGCACGGGCATGCCCCATGTCTAATAAACCTTGTTGCATTAAATCTTTGATTTCATCTTCTAGACTTAATAAGCGCAATAAATTACTTACGGTAGTGCGTGCTTTACCTACAGTATCTGCAATTTCTTGATGGCTAAGCCCAAATTCTTCATGAAAACGTTGTAATGCTAGTGCTTGATCAACAGGGTTTAAATCTTGACGTTGAATATTTTCGATCAATGCCAAGGCAATCGCAACCTGATCGGTCAAATCACGTACAATTGCAGGGATTTCAGTTAAACCCGCCAATTGCGCAGCACGCCAGCGACGTTCACCTGCAATGATTTCATAGGGAGTTTCGTCATTTTCAATAGGACGAATCACAATCGGCTGCATTACACCATGTTTTTTAATCGATGCAGCAAGTTCTTGTAAATCCTGCTCACCAATAAAACGACGGGGTTGATATGCACCGCGTTTTAATTGGGTTACATCCATCTGTTTTAATTGGCCATGATCCAATGCTTGGACTTCAAGTTGTAGTTTTTCTTTTTGGATTGAACCTAATAATGCATCTAAGCCACGACCCTTTGCCAACCCTCTTTTTTTCACGGTCATGCTTTATTTCCTTTTTTCACTTTACTCTTTTTCAACATTTCAGCTGCTAAATTTAAATATGCAATTGCACCTTTAGAGCTTTTCTCAAAATAAATAATCGGTAATCCATGTGCTGGCGCTTCGGCCAACCGCACATTACGCGGAATCACTGTATCATAAAGTTTCTTACCAAAATACTGTTCTAATTCGGCAGAAACATCACGAGTGAGTGCATTACGCGCATCATACATGGTACGAAGCACCCCAATAATTTCCAATTCAGGGTTTAAAGCCTGCTGAATTTTATCAATGGTCTGGGTCAGATCTGCCAATCCTTCTAATGCATAATACTCACATTGCATTGGAATAATCACTGCATCGACTGCGGCTAAAGCATTGACCGTAATTAAACTTAAACTTGGTGCACAATCAACAATAATATAATCAAAGTCTTTTTCAATCTGCTGTAAAGCGTTACGCAAAATAAACTCACGTCCATCTTGCTCTGCAATTGCCAGCTCAACACCTGCCAAATCACGATTTGAGCCAAGCACTTTATAGCCAACTTCAGCTTTACTAATTGCAGTTTCAATCGGTACTTCACCCAGAAGTACATCGGTGACTGAATACAACAAATCATTTTTTTGAATACCCGACCCCATGGTAGCATTACCCTGTGAGTCCATATCCACCAATAAAACACGCTTTTTCAACACTGCCAAAGAGGCAGCCAAATTCACGGCTGTCGTGGTTTTACCTACGCCACCTTTCTGGTTTGCGATAGCAATAATTTGAGCCATGGTAACCCCAACCCTTAGTCTGTTTTAAATCTGTTTTAATAAAAGTAAATGACGTTGTTCGTCCAATCGAGGTACATGCAATTCAATAATGTCACAACTCCACTTGTCTTTTAAAGCATCAACTTCTTCAGTGGGAATCAAACCTTTCATTGACGCAATGATACTGCGTTCATGCATATAAGGTTCTGAAGCTGTCACAAAATCTGTCAATGAAGCAAATGCACGACTGGTGATCACATCAAATTGCCCTAGATCATGGATACTATCTTCATTTTCTACACGTGTCTGAACTGCGACAACATTTTTTAGTTTTAAATCTGCAATAAACTGTTTCAGAAAACGAATTTTCTTACCATTTGAATCCAACAAAACACATTGGCGTTCAGGTTGGCACAGTGCAATGATCATCCCTGGCATACCCCCGCCTGTACCAATATCGAGTAAACGACCAGCGGGTAAATCATTTAAAATACTTAAGCTATCCAATAAATGTTTAACCAACATTTCTTTTGGATCACGAATGGCCGTTAAGTTATAAGCTTTGTTCCACAGGACGAGTGCATCTTGATATTGCAACAATAATCCTAATGCTTCATCACTAAGTTTTAAGCCAAGCTTTAGACTGCCTTGCATTAACTCTTGAAAAAATGGATGCATGATCAAATAACATCTCTAAAAAGTTAGCTGAAAGTATACCTATTTCTCGCCCGTGGAACAGTAGTTAACGATGAGTTAATACGCACTTAGGCGTATTTATCCTCACTTAACTATACTCACCCTGTCTTATTTGCAAATCCAAGGCTGTTAAACGCTCAGGTGTACCCACATCAACCCACGCTGCCTGCATTTTCTCAGCCGAGATTTTACCGTCTAGCATGCCTTGTTTAAGCAAAGGTGCAAGTGGTCTTTTACCCTGTTCCAGACCATCAAACATTTTTGGGTTAATCACAGCGACACCACTATAAGTTAAATTTTCACCTTGCTGATTTTGCTCAAAGGTATAAGCACGACCATTTGCCAAGGTAAAATCACCCTGTGGATGCTGTTCAGGATTATTGACAAAAACCAAATGTGCAAGATCATCGGCAAGATTGATATCTAATAATGATGCAAAATCAAAAGTGGTCCATACATCACCATTGACCAGAATAAAAGGTTGATCACCGAGAAGCGCTAAGGCATTGATAATCCCACCTGCGGTTTCCAAGCCCTCATCTTCACGCGTCCAGCGTATAGTCACACCAAATTGTGAGCCATCACCCAAGGTGCCAATCAGAATATCTGCCAACCATGCAGAGTTAATCACGATTTCAGTCACGCCAATTTTTTTTAATTTTTCAATATGCCATACAATTAGTGCTTTGCCGCCTACTTCCAACAAAGGCTTTGGCTTATAGAGGGTCAAAGGTCGCATTCTATTGCCTAGACCAGCAGCTAAAATCATCGCTTTCATGCTGCAACCACCTCATATGCGCCATATTTTTCTTCAAATTTCGGCAAAACCCGTGCATGGATAAAACGCATAAACGATTGTAATTCTGGGTAAGGTTTTGACTCTTCCAGTAAGTACCACATGACACGAGGCAAGTCCTTGAGATAACCAGACTTACCATCACGCTCAAACAAACGAACGAAAATACCTAAAATTTTGATATGACGCTGAATTGCCATAAAGTCAGCATCTTGTTTGAATTGATCAAAATCACGATCTTGCTTCGCAGATTCTGGCAACAAGTCATAAAACACTTTAAACCACTCATACACACGCTCAGGACCCCACTGTACGTAGGCATCACGGGTAATCGAAATCAAGTCATAAGTATCCGCACCGATCACTGCGTCTTGAAAATCAATCACACCTTGGTCTTTCTCACCTTCAAGAATCATCAGGTTACGACTATGGAAATCACGATGTACGATTACTTGAGGTTGTGCCAAAGCTGCATTGGCAAGGATAGCAAAAGTTCTTTTAATTAAAGCATGTTCTTCATCTGTCACTTGGATTGCTAATGATGGTAACAACCAATCCGTTAACAATTCCATTTCTGAGATCAGCTTTTCATAGGCATATGCTGGCAATTGTGATGAATCAGCGACAATCGACTGCAACTGCACCAACTGCTTAAAACTTTGCGCATAATGTGCATCTACCGTTTGATCATTCAATTGTGTAGATAGCAATACATCGCCAAAATCTTCAAGTAACAACAAACCTTGATCTAAGTCCTTGGCAACAATATGAGGTACACGCACCCCATTTGTGTCAAAGAATTCATCAATCGCAACAAAAGGACGACAATCTTCCTTCTCAGGAGGTGCATCCATAAGCATAAATGTTTTATTATTCAAGGTAATTCGTGCATAACGACGGAAACTCGCATCGCCTGCTAAAAAATTGATTTCAAATTGATCTGAACTGAGTACAGATGTTAACCATGTTTGTATCAATTGTTCACGTTGTGTATTCATTTGCAATTTAATCTAATTCAGGCTGAATTTTTGAAGTGCTAAGTGTAGCTACTTATCGACTTTTTCTCTATGATGCGACAATAATTAATTGCGATTAGCATATTTGGTTAATGAGACAAATGAAGCATCAGTTTAAATTTAATCCTTTAGCGACTGCTATTTTGACACTTCTTTGTGGGAGTTCAGTATCCAGCTATGCTGAATCGACAGACACTGTTTCTGAAGTTAATAATAAGCAACTGAATGCAGCCATCAAAGAAAGCTTTGCAGGACAAAATTTCTTTGAACAATATTATGTGGACAAAAACTCACCTAAAGCACAGGTACGTGATTTAAAAAATCCAAGTAGCCGCTATTGTGAAGGTGTCTGGGTAACGCCTTTTAGTACTCAAACTAAATCGACAAATCCAGAAGAAGCATCATCTGTGATTACCGCAGATAATGGGTATTACAATCCCAATGGTGACTCTTTCCTGTCTGGTGATGTGGTCATTGACCAATCTGGACGTATGATCCGTGCTGATGAAGTGACCATTGATAAAACACAAACTTTCGCCAAAGCGAAAGGCAATGTACAAATGGCGCAAGGTGGTATCATCGCGCAAAGTGATCAGATTGATTACAACCTGAAAGATGAAACTGGTCAGTTAAATAATAGTTTCTATATTGCAGAATTGACCCATGCACATGGTCATGCAGAAAAAATAGAAAGAACCTCACCAACCAATATCATCCTTGAAAATGCAACCTATACCACCTGCCCACCTGATGAAAAACCCACTTGGAAAATTCAGGCCAATAAAATTGAATTGGATCAAGATACTGGTCGTGGTGTAACGCGCGGTACTAAACTTTATGTTAAGGATGTGCCTGTACTCGCAGTTCCATACTTTAACTTCCCGATCGATGACCGCCGTACAACCGGGATTTTAAGCCCGAGTTTCGGCTTTACCAATGATGGCGGTTTTGAACTCGCAGTTCCTGTTTATTTAAATTTAGCACCTAATTATGATGCCACCATTACACCACGACTGATTACTGACCGTGGTCTTATGGCTCAAGGTGAATTTCGCTACTTAACTGAGAACTTTGGTGCTGGTAGCGTCTGGGGAAGTTACTTACCCTCTGACCGCGACTATAATGATGAAGATCGTAAAGACCTCCATTTCCTACACAAGTGGGATATCACCAAACAGTGGTCAACCAATTTAGAATATAACTATGTTTCTGATAAAGACTTCTTCTCAGATCTAGATAGCAATCCAAATTCCCGCACAGAGCTTAACCAACGCCGCGCTTGGGAACTTAACTACAATCACGGTATTCCTGGGTTAAAAGCTCAGCTTAAAGTTGAAGACTTTCAAACACTTGATAAAACCATCAAAGATGTAGATAAGCCATATGCCCGCCTACCACAGTTTTTACTGAACTATGTCGCTGGAAATCCGCAAGGTTTGGAATACGAATTTAATAACGATACTGCTTATTTCCAAAAAGACATCAACGACGCTGATTATAACAACCAGCCAAGTGGTACACGTTTATATAACCAATTTGCGACACGTTATAATTTCCGCAATCCATGGTCTTTTGTGATCCCTGAAGTTTCTGTACGTAGTTTAAATACTTTCTATGATCAAACCACGGTAGATCAACTTAACTTAAATAACCAAAGCCAAGATAGCAAAAATAAATCCGTTGTTGTTCCTCAATTTACCTTGGATACGGGTTTAACTTTTGAAAAGGACGGGAAATTCCTCCAGACTATTACACCTCGTGCTTTCTACGCTTACGCACCATATAAAAATCAAACAGGTTATCCAAACTTTGATTCAACAACAGCTTCTATCAGCTATGATCAATTGTTTAGCCCGTATCGCTTTTATGGACACGACCGCTTAGAAGACAATAACTTTTTATCTTTAGGCTTAAGTTATAGTTTATTTGATACGGTGGGCTTAGAGCGTTTAAGAGCCAGTATTGGTCAAAGTTATTATTTTGATGATCGAAAAGTTACACTGCTTAACAATACTGATGATTTAGACAGAGAAAAACATACCGGCCCTGTGCTGAGTCTTTCTAGCCAACTTTCACAAAACTTCACATTGAGTACCAACTCAGCGTGGATGTCAAATGGTGATAGCGCACAACATGACTTCCAACTGTATTATACAGGCCAGCGTGGAAACCTTTATAACGTCGGTTATTTTTATCGCAATAACCTTCCTGACCGTCAACGAGAATATGATCAAGCAGTTGCATCATTTATACAGCCTGTAAAAGACAACTGGCGTATTATGGGGCATGTTCAATATGACCTTGACAACCATGTCGCACGCGAATATTTATTGGGTGTGAATTATGAATCTTGTTGTTGGGGAATTTCCGTCTATGGTCGCTCGTACTTTAATGATCTAGATGACGTTTCTCTTCCTGATACAAAGCCAAAACGCGCAGTGATGGCTGAGATCACACTAAAAGGACTTGGTGGTTTGAACAACAAGTTAAGTTCATTACTTGAAAATCGTATTTTAGGTTTTGATAAAGCTAATCAATCTTGGACACATTAATGAAGACGCAAAAATTTAAAAAATTATTTAAAGCATCAACCTTAGCTTTACTCATCTCCACCTCGGTATCAGTTTATGCTGCTCCGCAGGACCAAATCATTGCAATTGTTGGTTCTACAGCAATTTTAAAAAGTGATTTAGACCAAGGTGTTGCTGAAGCGACACATCGACTTCAGGCACAAAAGAAAGAAATCCCACCACAAAACATTCTGCAACAGCAAGTACTGAGTCAGCTCATCACCCATGATGCACAGCTTGAACAAGTAAAGAAGTATGGCTTAAAAGCAGATGAAAAAAGCTTAAATGAAGCCGTATTAAAAGTTGCTCAACAATCTGGTGCAAATTCTTTAGAAGCTTTTCAAAAAAAATTAGATGCTGTTGCACCCGGTACCTATGAATTACTTCGTAACCGTGTTGCAGAAGATTTACTCATTCAACGATTGAGTCAACAACAAGTGATGTCTCGTATCAAGATCACTGACCTTGATGTTGAAAACTTCTTAAAATCACCTGAAGGTCAAGCTGCTGTTGGTAGTCAAGTCCATGTACTACATATGCGTATTTCAGGAGAAGCGCCTGCAAGTGAGTTAGAAAGTATTGCAAAAGCAGTTCGTACTGACTTAAAAGACAGCAATGACGTTAAAAGCTTAGAAAAGAAATTTAGCACAGCCCAAGTTAAAGTCGATGGTGCTGATATGGGCTTCCGTCCGCTTTCAGATATTCCAACAGATCTTGCTGCACGTGTTACGACTCTTGAGCCAGGACAAACCACTGACTTAATTCCAGCAAAAGATGGTGTTCATGTTTTAAAATTATTAGAAAAAAAATCGAATGAGCAAAAAGCTTTAGTTCCGCAATTTAATACGCGTCATATCCTGATTAAAACATCAGAAGTTGTTAGCCCTGAAAATGCAAAGCAAACCATTGACAGTATTTATAACCGTTTAAAAGCAGGTGATGATTTTGCTACGCTTGCTTCAACCTATTCAAATGATCCTGGTTCTGCTCGTGATGGCGGAAGTCTTGGTTGGGTAAGCCCTGGCATGATGGTTCCTGAATTTGACAAACTCATGCAAAGTTCGCCAGTCAACGAAATCAGTAAACCATTTCAAACTCAATTTGGCTGGCATATTCTCCAAGTTACAGGCACACGTCAACAAGATATGACCTCAGAGTACCAAAAGCGTATGGCTCGCCAAATTTTAGGCGAACGTCAATTCGAATCAGAATATGATGGCTGGTTAAGAGAGTTACGTGCAAATACTTACATTGAAATCAAAGACCCAAGCCTAGATCCAAAGAAAAATGAAAGTTAAGTCTATGCTAAGTCGTTAAATTAAAAACCAGTGCTTTTGCACTGGTTTTTTTCTCTCTAAATTTAGCAACACCAATAAAAAAGAGACGCCAATTTGGCGTCTCCTTTACAATCGTTCTTGTTAAATCAAGAAATTAACGATTGTTTTCATCTTCTTGTGAATCTTCAAATTTTGTTTCGCCGCCAAAGTCAGTACCTTGACCGCCGAAGCCACCTTGACCACCGAAGCCGCCTTGACCACCGAAGCCACCTTGACCGCCGAAGCCACCTTGGCTACCGAAACCACCTTGACCACCGAAACCGCCTTGTTGACCACCAAAGCCGCCTTGTTGACCACCGAAGCCACCTTGACCACCGAAGCCACCAGCTTGACCGCCGAAGCCGCCAGCTTGACCGCCGAAACCACCAGCAGCGCCTTGAGCACCAGCAGGAGCACCAGCTGGACGTGGATTACGTGCAGGTACTACAGTTGAAATAGCATGCTTATAAACCATTTGGCTTACTGTGTTTTTCAACAAAACAACATACTGGTCAAAAGATTCAATATGACCTTGTAATTTAATACCGTTTACAAGAAAAATAGAAACAGGAATACGTTCTTTACGGAGAGAATTTAAGAACGGATCTTGTAAAGTTTGACCTTTAGACATTTTATACTCCAAAAAAAATTAAAATCAGCGCAAAAACTACCTTTATTTTTCAATTAAAATTTATAAAAAAGGTAGTTGTTAAATTTTGCTTTATCCGTATAAGTTTCGCAAGTCTTCTTGTGCTTGGTTTATCGTAAAAAAAGTTTGAAAAGAGTGTGTTTCTTGCAAAGATCGTAACCATGTGTATTGACGTTTTGCTAATTGTCGTGTCGCAAATAGTGCTTTATCCTTCATTTGACGCTCACTTTCTTGACTCAAATCACTGTTTTTTAAAAAATCTATCGCTTGTCGGTATCCAACAGAGCGTGAAGAAGGTAAATTTTCTTCGAGATCGTATTTTTTCATAAGATTTTCAACCTCATTTAAAAATCCGATTTCCCACATTTTTTCCAAACGAAGTTCAATTCTCTTGTGCAGCTCTAGGCGATCAGGCAATAAAGCATAATTATGAAAATCATATCGGTACGGTTGATTCTTCGGTTGTTCCGCCTGTAGTTGAGTAATCGGACGACCAGTAATTTTATACACTTCTAAAGCGCGAATGATTCTTTGCTTATCACTGACTTTAAATTTTTCACCTGCCAATACATCAACAGATTTTAATTCATCATACACCGATTGCCAGCCTTCCGTTTCACCTTTTAACTCAATCGCAGCACGAATCGCGTAATCAGCACTTGGTAAATTTGTAGAGAGCCCCTCAAGCAACGCTTTAAAATATAGCATTGTACCGCCAACTAAAATAGGTGTTTTACCGCGTGCATGGATATCATCAATCAGTCTACAAGCATCCTCGACAAATTCAGCAGCAGAATAAACCTCTAGTGGGGTAATAATATCAATCAAATGATGCGGATAACACTCCTGCTCCGCTTTGGTTGGCTTTGCAGTACCAATATCCATATCTTTATAGACCAAGGCAGAATCTACAGAAATAAGCTCATAATTCCCATGATCATACAGTTCACATGCCAAAGCAGTTTTACCGCTTGCGGTTGGTCCCATTAAATTGATGACGGGCAATTGATTTGACATGTACAACTACTCTCCTCGAGCAAATAATTTATCTAATTGGGGTAATGGAAATGCTCGCCATGTTGGTCGACCATGATTACACTGACTGGCAAATTCTGTGTGTTCCATTTGACGCAACAAAGCATTCATTTCGGAAAGACTCAGCATTCGATGAGCACGCACTGCACCATGGCATGCCATGCCTGCTAAAATTTGATCACGCTTTTGCTGTAGCGCCTGTGCTTCATCATTTGGATCTAAATCATTGAGTAATTCAGGTACCAAGGATTCAAAATCTGCTTTATGTAAAATCGCAGGCACACCACGTACAATCACTTGGTCATCACCATATTGATCGATTTCTAGGCCTAAGCGTTCCAACTGTGGTTTTAAATCATCAACACGGGTTGCCTGCATACGGGTAATCGAAATGACTTTAGGAATAAGCAACTGCTGTGAGGTCCAAAATTCTGGTTTATCCCATGCAGATTTCATTTGTTGTAGCAAAATACGTTCATGCGCTGCATGCATATCGACAATAATCAGGCCTTCCGTATTCTGTGCAAGAATATAAATTCCATGTAATTGCGCTATTGCAATTCCCAACGGATATTCATCAACCTGATGGACCTGTTTATTTTGGATTTCTTGTACAGATCGCTCATAGGACGCTTGATCTGTTAATCCTTGATCAGCATCCCCAGACTCACGTAAAGGGGCTAAATAGCTTTTCAAGGCGTTATTGAGTTGTTGAGTGCTACGATACTGCTGTTGTGGTTCATAGTGGGAATAATTGACTGTTTGGGCATGTGCATCACTAAAATCTGTTAGACCACTATGCTGTATAGACCCATCTGAATTGCTTCGTTTATTTTGATCACTTACATCTTGCTCAGTTGGTACATTGCGATGTAAAGGAAATTGTTCCTGATAACGTGGCTGCGCTGGCAATGCTTGATTTTCTGTTGCGCCATCCTGCTTCATTGCAGAAGACAAATCCGCAGTTGCAGTTTGGAATTGAGATAAAGTGACTTTAGCAAAATGTCGTACAAACTCATGTACTTCACGCTGATTTAGGAAGCGAATTTCATGCTTGGTTGGATGCACATTCACATCAATATTTTCAGGATCAACTTCTAAAAACAGCAAATACGCTGCATGTTGATGTCCATGCAAAATACCATCGTATGCCATACGCAAAGCATGAGAAATGGTCTTATCTTTGACGATACGACCATTCACATAGACATATTGCAAATCGGCTTGTGCACGCGCATCTGAAGGATGTCCTAACCAACCTGATAAACGCATACTAATACTGTCTGCATCTATCCAGTAAGCATTTTCAGTGAATTGGCGACCTAATAATTGCTGTACCCGTTGAAATCTTAGCTCACCACTATCTGCAATCGGCAAATTAAGGCGAATATTGTCATTATGTTCTAAAACAAAGCGGATATCGAAATGCGTAAGTGCCATTCGACGTACAATTTCTTCAATATGACCAAATTCAGTACTTGGTTTCTTTAAAAATTTACGCCGCGCAGGCACATTAAAAAACAAATCCTGAATACGGATATGTGTACCTTGTTGGGTTGCTACCGCTTGAATATCTTGATGATCAAATGCTGTACCATTGACTTCCAGTTGGTAACCGACACCTGAATCATCCTGACTACTGGTTAAGGTTAAACGCGAGACCGCTGCGATAGATGCAAGCGCCTCTCCACGAAAGCCCAAACTCACAATTGCATGTAAATCTTCAGCAGATTGAATTTTACTGGTTGCATGTCGGGTGACTGAAAGTGCTAGATCCTCAGCGTGAATACCTCGACCATTGTCAATAATTTCAATCAGGGTACTGCCACCATTTGCCACACGAATAATCAGCTCAGTCGCACCTGCATCAATCGAGTTTTCAAGCAACTCTTTCACTACCGATGATGGTCGTTCAATCACCTCACCTGCAGCAATTTGGTTGGCCAGTGCTGGATCTAGATTTTGGATACGTCTTAAACTAATATCTTCGCGTTGCATTCAATTAACCTAAAAATTTAAATAAATTAAAATATATGATGGGCTTAAAATGCTGAAAACATTGATCAAGTCAACGCTTCAATCAATTCAGCAGAAATACTTTCAATTACCACTTCTCGTGCAGCTTCATCTTCTGTTTTTAAAATGCGAATGACGTGATCTGGCTGTGGAATTTCATCACCGCCCTTAGAAGGCCATTCAAATAAGAATAAAGCATTCTCGACCTCTAAATAATCACGAATACCCATCAATTCAAGCTCATAAGGATCATTTAAACGGTATAAGTCAAAATGAAACACCTCTTTCGCATTGATATTATAAGGTTCCACCAAGGTATATGTTGGACTTTTAACCGCACCCTTATGACCTAAACTTTGCAACCAATAGCGTGTAAGTGTGGTTTTACCTGCCCCCAAGTCACCGATTAAATAAATCACGCCTTTTGCAATATGTTGAGCTAACTTTTGTGCCAACATTTGGGTGTCTTGTTCATTGCTCAGACTTAATTTATATGAATATTGCATAACGCTCACGACATGATTCAAACCAGACAATATGATAGCATTGCGTGACTTTAAAACCTATGTTGCATTGTTTAGAAATCATGTTTTGATACTTTCCAACACGCTTAGACAACTCACTTTAAACTTATCTGCATAAAAAATACGCTTATGAAACCCGTCACCGCTCTTTCAGAATATCAACCACCAATGAGAGATGGTGTAACTGCATCAAAAGTTTATCTCCCCAAGCTAGCAGATTTACCTAAAAATTTATTCAGTTATTTATGTGAGCATTTTCCTCATATTTCAGCCAATGAATGGCAACAACGTTTTCAAGAACAACTCATCATCGATATGCAAGGTCAAGCATTAACGGTTGATCAGCCTTATCTAGAAAATACCCATCTTTACTACTATCGATTTCTCCCCCATGAAATTCATGTGCCATTTCAAGAAAAGATATTGTTTGAAAATGACGATTTAATTGTCGTAGACAAGCCTCACTTTTTAACCATCAGCCCATCAGGGCAATATATACAAGAAACCTTATTAGTTCGTTTAAAAAAAATCACAAACAACCCAGACCTCACCCCAATCCATCGCTTAGATCGGGAAACTGCTGGCATTGTATTGTTTTCCAAACGCCCTCAAACACGTGGTTTATATCAACAAATGTTTGCTGAGCGACAAGTCAATAAGACCTATCAAGCGATTGCTCAATTCAATGCTGATTTAGAATTTCCATGTGCTGTGGACTTGAGAATGGAAAAGGGCGAACCCTTTTACACCATGAAAGTTGTTGAGGGAAAATCAAACTCATATACCGAAATTAATCTAATTGAACACAATCAAATCTGGGCAAAATATTTACTAAAGCCGACTACAGGTAAACAACATCAATTACGAGTACATTTAAATTGGTTAAATATTCCAATTAAAAATGATCCTTTTTACCCGCAAGTTCTACATAAAGATGCTGCTGATTTTTCACAACCTTTACAGCTGTTAGCCAAGAAAATTGAGTTTCTTGACCCGATGACACAAGTCGAATATTGCTTTTGTTCTGACTATGAATTGACACTGTAATTTTGACGTAATGACAAATATATGACTTTTTGACGATTAAGCATTGAAATTCCGAAAGCTTTGATTAAAATAAGCATTCAAACTCAAATTTTGTTTGGTCACTATTCATGAGAAAAACCGAAGTCTATCAAGTACGCCTTGATTCACAAGAAAAAAAACTAGCATTTGCTGTTTTTAAACAATTGGGGATTACGCCTGCACAAGCAGTTCGACTGTTTTTTAAACAAGTTGTCATCACAAAATCCATCCCTTTCGCCATAGAAAATCAAAATATCAATATGGATCAGTTATTCAAGCTGAGAAAACTTAAGCAAGACCAACAAAACGGACAACTCAATTCTTCTGTTGATTTAAATGATGACGACGAAGATCTATTTGCAGAGCTGAATGCCATCTTGGGTGAAAGTGACAAAAAATAACACTGTCGCATTTTTAAACAAATAATTAAGTTTACTTTTCTATTTTTTAGTTATGCTCTTTTGCAAAGATAAAAATCATTGCAAGGAGTAATAAATGATCGTTAGACGAGCGACCAAAGAAGATTTAAATCAACTTGCTACTTTATTTGATGAATATCGCCAATTTTACGGCGCATCTTCCAATATCCAAGAGTCCTTTAATTTTTTAAAACAACGTTTTGAAAATCAAGAAAGTGTTATCTTTATTCATGTAAAAGATGATGTTTTTACAGGCTTTGTGTTGTTATACCAAGGCTTTTCATCTGTTTCTTGTTCAAAGTATTATATTTTAGATGATGTGTATGTAACACCTGTTTTTCGTCGACAAGGTTCTGCCAAACAACTGATTGATACTGCAATTCTGTTTGCACGTCATGAAGATGCGCAACGGATCAGTTTAGAAACCCAGAAAAACAATTACCATTCACATCAGCTCTATGAGCAAATGGGCTTTGTTAAAGACAATGAATTCCAGACATTTCATTGTTTCCTCAAGTAGTTTTTTTACAATGCATTTTTAATCAATTCAACGTAGGTTTCCACATCTTTGCGAATTTAAGTACATTGGGTACCGTGTCCTGTGAAATAGGAAAGACCACAGCACAGGATTTTTTAGCATCCAATACTGTACTTTCACGCCCTAAATAACACTTTAATTGAGCAATTTTATCAAATTCTTTTTGATTCACCTTGACCACAACTTTACGAAAAGAATGTTCTAACCAATTTTTATAACTTTCAGCATCAGCATCTTGAACAAATTGTAAGTGCGCAGCCAAGACTGCATGCGCAACAAGGGTTGGAACCATAAAGTCTAGCATTTCATCTAAAACAGCAATATAGCGCTTTAAAGCCATGATCAAATCACTATTTGTTCATTTTGACTATTTCTAGCAGCATTCACCTGATCTTCTGTCAAATAAACCCACTCACCTTCAACTAAGTCTTTGAGTGCTAATTGCCCGACTTGTGCACGATGCAAGCTTTCAACCTTATTCCCCACAGCAGCCAACATCCGTTTGACTTGATGATAAACCCCTTGGTGCACAGTGATTTGTAATGCATATTCAGCCAAGCGCTGTACATCTGTTGCTGCAAAGGTACCCTTTTCATTGCGTAATTCTACACCCTGTTCAAGTTGTTGAATCTGATCATCTGTAATCGGATCGGCTGTTTGTATTTGATAAACTTTAGCCACATGCTTTTTAGGATGAGTCAATGCTTGCAAAAACTGCCCATCATCCGTCAGTAGCAATAAACCCGTCGTATCCTGATCTAAACGACCAACAGTTTGTAAACCACGGTTCATAAGGACATCATCGAATAAATCAAAAACACTAAAATGGTGTGTTGATTGATGGGAACATTCGTAGTCCTGCGGTTTATTTAAGGCAATATAGACTTTTTCACGGTATTGAAATGTTTCGGTATACACTGAAAATACTAGGTTTTGAGGATCAAGTTTAAATTTGGGGTCGGTAACGACCTCGTTTTGGATTTGAATTGCACCATTTTTAATGAGTTGTTGGCAATGCTTACGTGAACCAAAGCCTTGTGATTGCAACATTTTTTCCAAGAACATAAATCAATACCTTAAAAATTCACGATACATTTTAAAGTATCGTGAATTGAAACCCAAACAACATTCAGGCTTTTTTAGCCTTATTGATTAATCAATAGATGCTTTTATCAAGTATTAAAGATAAATGACTTATGTACAGCAACACCCGCCAGTGCCCCATCTGCGACTGAGAAAGCAACTGAACCACCTGAACGGGTAATATCACCACAAGCATATATCCCTTTAAGATTGGTTTCTTTCATGGCTGTGGTTTGAATGGCTTCACTATATTCATTTATATCAAGCACTATCCCCAGTTTTTTAATCCAAGGCGCGCTGATACGCATAAAAGTGGAGACGAATAATCCATCTAATTGAACCTGCTCACCATCTTCAAAGACTAAATCACAATGATTGTGTATTTTGACAATTTTGCGTGTATCCAATTTCACATTTCTTTGTTTAAGCTGCTCAAGTGTGACGGGATCTAATTCAGCTTGCGAAATTACATCATTTAAAAATAAAGTGGTATTGCCCCAGTCGGGTAACATCAATGCCATATGAATCGAATGTAGACCTGAACATAACATTCCAAGTGTTCCAAGATTTAACTCATAGCCATCACAGTATGGACAATGAAAAATGCTTTTCCCCCACCGTTCTGCTAAACCATCGATTTCAGGTAAATCATCTTGAACACCTGTAGCAATAATTATTTTTTTGACTTGAATGGTTGTACCCGTGTCATCGGCTTGGTCTATTTGAATCTCATATTGCTGCCCGACAGCGTCCACATCGGTGACGGATGCGTTAATACATGACAAAGTTTGGTATTTGTCTAACTGTAATTTTGCATCACGAATAATTGCTGCTGGCGTATTGCCATCTTGGGTTAAGAAATTATGAGAATGTTCAGCAAAACGATTACGACGCATGCCTGCATCAATCATTAACACTTTTTTTCTAGCACGAAGCAATGGTAATGCTGCGGATAAACCTGCATAACACCCACCAATAATTACGACGTCATAGTTCATTTTCAATACCAATAAGTAACTTTTAAAGTTACTATATTGAGTTATTTTTCTAATTGCAACTTTTAATGTTACAATTAACAAAAGAGCGTTGACTTAAAAACTATGCGTAAAGACAGTAAGCTTTCTAGAATGTTGCATGTACTATTACATATGGCCCGTGAAAAAAAACCGTTCACCTCTGAACAAATTTCAATCATGTTAGACACCAATCCTGTCGTAGTACGTCGTACCATGTCTGGTTTAAAAAAAGCAGGCTTTGTGCATGCAGACAAAGGCCCCGGTGGAGGCTGGACCTTAGTACAAGCTTTAGAGGAAATATCGTTATTTGATATTTATCAGGCTGTTGGAGAACCTACTATTTTTGCCATTGGCAATGAACAAGAAACACCCAACTGTCTGGTTGAATTGGTGGTGAATAAAGCTTTAAACCAAGCTATGCAAGAGGCACAAAACATTTTAATACAACAGCTTAAATCAACAAATCTGTCCAAACTGGCCCAAGACTTTGAGTATGAATGGAATTTATTGGGCGCTGAAACTGAAAAATTTATTGTCCATTAAATCCGCACTCGGCTGAATTTAAATGTAAATCATCGCCTGACAAGACAAATTCACATGCTGCTTTTCAGTATAATGGGGAGATGTATTAATTTTTAATGATGAATATTGATGAGTCTTTCTAGTCTGGACCTAAATTTAATTGTGCTCCTTGTTTTACTGGCCTGCGGCATCTTTAGTCACAATACTGCGGTCACCATTGCAGCTGGGGTTTTGATCGTCTTTAGAATCACACCTTTAAGTGAGTTTTTCCCGTTATTACAAACTCACGGTTTAGAAGTCGGCATTATTATTTTAACCATTGGAGTACTTACTCCAATTGCCAGCGGCAAAATCCCCGGTGATGTTATTTTAAAATCATTTATGCATTGGAAATCATTAACAGCCATTGCGATCGGTTTATTGGTTGCTTGGTTAGGTGGTCGTGGAGTTTCCTTAATGACCAGCCAACCCAATGTCGTTGCAGGCTTATTGATTGGAACAGTTGCTGGAGTTGCATTACTCAGAGGTGTTCCTGTGGGTCCCTTGATTGCTGCAGGAATCCTATCTTTACTGATTGGAAAAACTTAAAGTATTTTAAAATATCCTCACTTAAAGCTGATCTGACAGTTATCGATATTTGATTGAGGCTGTCAGGTTAAATTTGAGCTACATTCAATTGATAAATACTTGTACATACTTATTTGCATATACTTTCAATGCATATGCTCCAAATAAATAATATTAAACAAACCTAAACTTCACTAAA